TAAACATTGGATGAAGATATGTCTTAATTTCTCAATTATGATGCGTCCCTAAACACGTTTTTTGTCTATTATTATAAATTTCGATCTGCAATTTATAAATTTTTTCTTTGGTACTTGATTTGGTGTGCCAATAAATTGTTTTTGTATATAGGCTAATACGAGTATTTTTTGGTAGCTAATTTTTTGTTCCAAAATTGTCTAAAAGTTTTTAGCCAAGAAATTGTTATGATTGTCTACTGTCGATTTTCTAGACTAAATTATTTAGTTCTAGTACTTTTAAGTAATTATGAAAGAAATATTGTCAAAATATCTGTCATTTTAATATTGTAAGTAGGCCCATGTAAAATATTACATGTGCTGATTTAATTTGTAACATGACATTTCTCTATTTCCTTAATTGTGTTTTGTAGCAAGACTTTTTTAAGGTTAAGATTTTGTAGGTTTTGTAAACGACGAAGTGAACTTGAAATGTTTAAGGCATTATATAAGAATACTATTAAAACATGTTACTGAATATTGTTTTCCTCTATTCAAATGTACCTAGTTTGGTACCTTGAAAGAATTCTTCATTATCTGTAAGCTTGTTAAGATATTTGGTCATATTTTTCTATATGCTGTTTTTCTAATGGATGACTGAATTTAAATACATCTTTGTAAATGTATGAATCAATTTTGTGCAGTAACTATTTTAGATTTAATATTATTTTATTCCAGACATATAACCAGACATGGTGATATTGCCATACGTAACGGGCAATGATGTCAATTTACTATAGAACAAACAAAGTTACATCATATTTTCGAATTTGTTTATTTTACGAAAATTTTATTTGTGTGATGGCGTAAAACATTGAACTAACTTCTGTAAATAAGTTTACAACTTTGTCGTTATAAATGTTGAAATTATGACAAAATGTGGGAATAAGTGGTGTTATTCCACGAACTTGCCATATTATGTATATATATATATATATATATATATATATATTTATTTATTTATTTATCTATCAATTTGTTACGCATTTTGAGCACCCCTGAACAAAAAACAAGTCATGTATTCAAAACGCAAAATCAACAAATCAGCAGAGTGTGCAGATTCTCTTTGCTGTGTCCTCTAGCGCTAACCAGGGCGATGTAAGGGAACAAAACAAAACTTTTCAAAACACCTATTGATGACAGCATTTTCCGCATTTACAAGTATTTGTTGAATGTCTTACAATTAACACGGGTTCTTTTGTTACGAAAATATATTTTTCATATAGGAAACATCTGGGTGCGATACAAAACAATTTTAACGAAACAATTATACAAACAGTGAAGGTCACCCTTTGAATGGTATTTTTACTACAATTATTATAGTAGAATACTTTCGCTTGTGCTGATTATTCTATAACATATGTATAGTCATTTACAATCCATAAAAAAGAATAAACTCTACCCAGAAAAAACCGTTACAAACATTATTGTTAAACTACTGAGGGACTCCCGAATGTTCCCTTTTAATTCCATAACCAAAAGGTCCAGATATTACTTATCTCAGCATGAAGTTCAGGAACTGCTTCTCAACGAGCCTGCATCTTACCCTAGCTTATATAGCACCGAAAATATAACGTCCCTCAATCAGGTGCTTAAAATGTTACATTTTTAATTTAGGCGATCAGAGGGCTGAAATATAAGAAAATAGTATATTTTTTCTTGTAAATATCACCACGTGCCACGCTGTGGTGCTTTCGTATGACAATGCTCCAACACGTCATGTCGACACTAGCGCTGTTAAGCGGCAGGCTTGGAAACTCTTTGCCACGCCGGTGTAGCGGGCGAATTTTACCCAAACTATTCTTACCCCCCCCCCCTTAATGCCTGTGTGGAGGCACATGCCAAAGCAGATTGGGTTCCGCTGAAAAACCGCAACAATAGTATAGCACTGTTTACAGCCCTTGGCTGATACATTAGGTTGACACTAATACCCGAGAGCATTACTCTCGTTACTTTTTTTGCCAGACGTTGTCCCTTGGGAGAATAAATATTTAAGGACCAAGTGTGGCCCCCTCGCAAATAAAGTTACTGTTCAAGCGTAGCCAAATATTACGCACCGAGCCAGAGTCCTCAGCGCCTGCAGAGGAGTTAATTTCCAAATAAGTGATTCAAGGTGCGCCGGCTTTCTTTTTTAGGTAGTGAGCGCTCAGCGGTCACGCATCAGTGAAGCTTGGAGTTTCCCCATAAATGATTTTCAAGCGTAGTAAATTTGTGTTCTGTGTAGCTAGCAGAGTGGAATTATACCATTGGCACTGCCCCAACTTGATACGCCACCATGGCTACCTTACCCGAAGCAGCGTAGGAAAACGAAGTGGTGACTTCGCAAAAGAAAGGGCGTATGCTTCGCGTAGTTGCGTATCATTTCGCAAGAATTTGCAAAAAGCACGGGCGTGGATCATAAATGTTTTAAACGTGTTGCTAGGCGGGCTCTGCATAGCGGACAGGCGGAAAATTTGACGGGAATGAGACGCCCCCGTCTCAACCTTTAAGCACGTACCAAAGACGAGCTAATTCTGCTTAGAGGCACTTCTCAAACGGAAGATTATGTCCTATTGTCTCGAATGTTTTGCATAACGATGTCAGATGTGAGTTGTTACTCAGGCAGGCACATGCCAACTATGCTGCTTTATTTTCGTTGCACAACTCCTACACGTGCTGTACTAATCCCATATACATATGTGTAACACATCTATGCTGTTATAGGACGGCAGTGAATGAGGGTTAGGAGGCTGTCTCTGGGTTAGCAACAACACAAGATGTTTCACAAATATTCATTCGATTTTGAAAATTCATACATAAATGAACAATTTGGCTTTCAAGACATCGAGTATTATTTCAGTAAAAATGTAAATGCCCCAGAAACGACAAACAAGCCTTTGAAGTTAGTGTTATTTGCTGTGTTTTGAAACTTTCTGAAGTAGTTATGTCTCGAACTTTCCCGAACTATCGTTCTCTCTTGTGACGTAAGTATTGACCAATTTACAAGCACAAGCATACATTAGAAAAATGTGACGAAATGAAGACAATATTTTAGAGTTTGAATAATATAAATCTGTTGATATCAGATGCATCAGTCCAGTTCTTAAAATCTGTGCCATTGATATTTATAGTGCCTACTATTTTTCACGAGACGGACATTTCTCGCTTCCGTACCAAACGAGTTCTTAAAAACACGTTTTGAAATGCCTGAATTTGTTTTATTCAGAAGCAAAATATTGCGACACTTAGTCTATAGTGCTTTGCCGTGTTTAAGCAACACACAACTAATTGAAAACAATATTAGCCATACGAACTTAGAATAAATGAGAAGTTTGGTTACATTAATTTACTAATTTCGTATGTAGCCGCTCATAACATTTTAAATTATAGTATTTTACCTAAAATATTTACATAATTACTTATCGAAATCTGAGTATGTTGTTTAGTCCTAATATATAAGTAATCTTTAAATTTGTTAAATAATTTATCTATTAGGAATAATATTTTGTTCCCTATGTAAAATGTATAATTATTCTCGCTATTTTTGTATAAACATTAACGGATATTATTTTTAATAACGGTTAACAATGTGATGCAATTTACAACTGACTGGTGTAGGAATTCAAACATTATATGCAACTGTATTAATTCTAGCATTATGATAGTACCTACTGGTATACAAAATGCCACTTGAAAAAGAAAATTTGTAAATAAATGAGGATTTAGGTGAAATGAAAAGATAATTCTCCTCGTGTGTGACAGATACATTGTACAAAGCCACACTGCCGTGATTTCACATACACGTTTGAAATAAATATTAGGCCTACTCTTCAAGACGTTTCTTCGTTATGAAGTTTCTTGGATGAAATTTAACGAAATTTAAATATTAGATAGGACGAATAAATTTTTATTTTTAACCAGGTAAACATTAGTAATCGTTTTCATTAATATGTGAACAATAGCTACACCTTGTTACGAAAGGCTCCGTCGGGAACCTGTACAACAGCGAACCGGTATCGATGTATTTCCTAGTTCCACTTTTTAACAAAATGATCCAGTGGATCAATTTTGTCCAAAAAAAAAAAAAAACTTATGGTGTGTATTCCAGACTCGGGCTATAGAAAAATTACAATTTACGTACAGTGCTTAATATTTGGTTAGAAATAAATAGAGCCGAACAAAATATAAACTACGTGTCTGTTTATTAATTAAACTAACAAATTCGTTTTAGAGAATTACGATTGGTATTTAAGCGCACACAGTTGCGTGATTCTGCTGTTAGCTTTGGTTGAAAATGATATTATTGCGCGTGGTGATCATTATTATACCTAACAGGTAATATGTAATTAAAAATATTACGCAATGAGAAGTTATGCTGTTCATGCTAACGTACAGAACAGTTTCGCCTTCTTAAACTTTATGCTGTTAATAGCGCTGAAACATCATTCGAATAGACTTTTCGAATATATGGTGTAAAGTATTAAAATTAAGCTTTTTTAAGGTCATAAAATTAATTAATTTCTCATATGACGTGATGGAGATTTTACGCTGGCGCAACAGTCGCGGTATTATAAAAAGGGGGGGGGGGGGGGATGATGAAATGTCAGCTACTCAAAAATAATCTGTGTATGACGTCAGCAGGACGAATTCTCAAAATTTAAAACACCTTTTGACAGAAAACATTTACATTTTTGTTTGTGAAGTTTATGTGTTATATTCCTCTAATGTTTAACTATAATTAAAATGGTTTTAACATTAGTATATCTTATAAGGTAACTCGAATGTTTGTCCATAAACATATCACAGTTTCTGTCTGAATAAGTAAAGAAGGCCATGTGGAGTTCGAACTGATTCAATTTCTCATTTGAGCGGTGATTTTCTGATTGAAAATATTTCTAGCGGAAGATGTTTAGTTAGTCAGGTGGGTTTATTCTTACCACAAACAGATATACCGGTACAATGTCGTCATAGGAAAAAGATTTCGTTCCTCCGGGCCGGATTTGAACCAGCGACCTATGGATTACTATTTCACGATCTACAGTCCACCGCTCTACCAAATTTTATATATATATATATATATATTTATTTATTTATTTATTTATTTACTATTACAAACGATACACAGTGGCGTTTACCCTTAACCTATTATACAGTACACATTCAACCCACAATATAAACAATAACAAAATACTCAATAAAATATCTACACAATTCTTACATAGGGGCACAAAACGATATGAACATTTGGTGAATTGGTTTTACTGACAAAGTCAATGAACACACAAAAAATTATTTAACGTGAGGGGCAGCGCACGGCGTACACCCCGACACACGACACTGACTTATAACACTACCACCTATGACGATTACTACTGGAACATTAAATTGTACACTTGTAAGGACCGAGGGGTGGGCAGCGCACGGCGTACACCCAACATCAGTAATATACACGCACTTCCTGTAGGCGTGAACGTCAGAATGAAAATAAAAAATTGCCGTACCATTGACGCAATGTGCCACGCCGCGCCATGTTCCACCTATCTTGACGAAGAAGCTGGACAAAGTCTTGAACTGTCACCGGTTTCGAATGGTCCACCAAAAAACCGATCGCATGAAGTATAAACCAGGTCGCAGCTCTTCGTCGAACTGAGGGGAAGGTGAAGAAATTGCAATGAAGCATGTGCGTGTAGCTGACATCTCCACGTTCATCGCGAATTATCTTTCGTACTCGTACGCGACACCACTGCCAGATGGGAGCTGCATAAACACAGGAAATTACCCCATGAAGGGTCGTGTCGGTGTTGCCACATAGCGGGCATGCAGGGTCAGCTGTCAGGTGAATGCTGTATTTACGCTGCTGAGTTGCGACGATATTATTGTAGAAGCCGAATGCTGCAGCTCGAAGATCCGAGGAAAGGTTAGGATCGGCAAGTATTTTCCATGGGCGCCTCCAACGGATGGTTGGGGTGCGATTCACAACAGATGGTATGACAGCCATTTTGGAAGCCTGAATGTACAAATATCTCGCTGATGCGACTGTCCCTTCAGGTAAGTGTTCTACTAGAGTTGCGAGTGCTTCCTTTGCCTGACGGTATTGAGGTGGCTGCGTATAACTTCAGACCACATCATTTTCTGTAATGCTGCGTAAATGTCCTCTGGGCGCAAAATTGTTGCATTTGCTGAAGACTGGTATAAAGCCTCACACTTCAAAACGTGATTAATTAGACTCAGGCCTAGATAATTTAAATATATAAGATTTCCACAACATGCGGCCAACAATCTGTAGTATTTGTGCACTTTGTTGACGTGGTAGTGGGAATATATGTGACACATACCACAGCTTCGCAAGTAAGAATACATTTATTAAAGTAACCCTCTGTATAATATTTGTACGACGATAATTCATTTCTATTTGACGAGCACGGAGTTTATTTATTGTCATGTTCCAATTGTAATGCAACATAAGAGTGGCGTCTGCATTGTAGTATATGCCCAATATTTTCACAGTTTCGGCCCTCCGAAAGGGAAAAACGTCAAATGGCTCGCTGGTCGCGCTGAGCTCCAGTATGGCAGTTTTGTTAGCATTCGCTCACAGATTAGAGACACTGCGAAAAAGGTCCAGGCATTCTGCCGTCTCTGTAATTTCCCGCTCTGAACGAACGACACATGTGATGTCATCAGCATAGACATTTAATTTAAAGGACAGGTTCGCTACATGGAATCCTTGCAAGCGGGCACTGAGCATTCTGCACAGAGGTTCAATGACGATAGTAAATAAAATCATGGATAGCGGGCATCCTTGTCGAACTGAACTCTCGATCTTAATTGGCGGGGTAAGGAATCCGTTAACCAACAGCCGTGACCAAATTCCGGTACACACCATCCACACCCACTGTACTGCATTGGCTAGAAAATCGAAATGATGCATAACATGAAGTAAAAATTTGTGATCGACTCTATCGAATGCCTTATCCATATCAATACTCAAGATGGCCATTTTACTGTGTTGTATTGACGAAAGTAATTGAATGTCCCTTAGGGCAAGCACACCTTGTAAGATGGAACGTCCTGGAACAGTACATGTCTGGCCGGGACCAATAATATCTGACAATCCCTTGGTTAATCTGGTCGCACAAAAACGAGCAATTATTTTATAATCGGCACATAAAAGTGTAATTGGCCTATAATCCGCGGGTTTAAGTGGACGGGATATTTTGGGTATAAGAACAATTATCCCTTCTTTATGAGACTTGCATAACTCCCATCTTTCAAGCACATCGCGAACAACTTCGCAGAAGTCGGTACCAATAATATCCCTATAAGTTTTGTAAAATTCGTATGGAATACCGTCAATACCCGGTCTTTTTTTTATGGCAATTGTTGTATTATTGTATTAACTTCCGCATCTAAACATGGCGCCTCCATGCCCGTCTTGCTCTCACAGCTAACTCTGTTCTCACAATCCTATAAAACCGATGGAAGCAGAGCATCGTCCGTGTCTTGTTTCGAGTATAAATTTGCATAGTAACTGCAAAGTGTTTGCACTATTTCCGGCCGGTCCCGAACAATAGCGCCATCACTGTCAGTAAGCTGGTTGTTAACTTTGCGTCGTATTTGCTGTTGTTCCTTAATGATACTAAACATGCTATATTTCTCTTCTGCGAATATACTTTTATCATTTATCATAATATGACGATTTTTAAACTGTTCACGCAATAAATGCATAAGCTTCTGTTTCGTGTCTCTAATACGTGGAGTTACGTGTGCAACATTGTTTGCCTGCAGGTTAAGTTCGTGTAGCATACGTTCGTAGAATGCACGTGTTCCCCTACGTTCTTCTGCCAGTCGGTACGCATGCATTTTAAAAAGCCTCATGACGTTCGGTTTTACACACACATCCCACCACATCGCCACAGAGGGGAACTGGTATTTTTTTCTATGCCAACGTTCCCAATTAGCTAGGAAGTCCTCTTTTACTTCTGAGCTGTCTAATAAAGACGTATTTAGACGACATATCCCTCTGCCAAACCGTGTTACATTCGAAAACTTTTCATGCGTAAATATCACTGCAGAATGATCGCTGAAAGCTACCTGAAGAACGTCATATCGATGCACCTTATGTATATGTTGTTTTTTCACGTAGAATCGGTCAATCCTAGACCGACTCTGTGAAGTCACATAGGTGTAATGAATTCCTTGGATGTTAGATGCAACATCACACAAGTCTAAGCGAGTTATTAAAGTAGATAGGGCAGCATTAGTAGGATAGATGCCACCCTGATGATCATGGGGGTGAACTATGCAGTTGAAATCTCCACCGAGTATGAACTGATTACAGGGTGGATGGAAAAACGGAATCAAATCCAAGGAGCAAAACTGATTTCTTTCATATCTCGCTTGGGAGCAGGAGGGAGCATAAACATTGACTAGAGACACATCGTTTATTCGTCCTGACATCACTCGGCCTGACGGGTGGTAGCGCAGGTCTTCAAGTTCCAACCCCGCACGTGTAATAATCACTGTCCGCCGTCCCCGGTCACCAACGTTTGTATACACATTGAAGGTATGAAACCCTATAAAATCTTGAATAGCTTCTTCTTGCAAGAATGCAATGTCAACTGCCTGTGTTCCAATCAGTGTCTCTAGCGCTGCCAATCGCGCACTGGCCGAGACTGCACAAATATTTAAAGTTAAAATTGTCAATAACTCTATCATGTGTGCCTAAAAAATGTAGTGATAGTATCAGAGAGAGGGAAATGGAAAGGTGGACAAAAAGGAAACGTGGACAAAGTTAAATGGGGGCCGGTAATAGGACATACAGGTGGGGATGCACACATGTGCCGGTCGTATTGTTAGTTAGTTGGGTTATCAGGACGTTCTTGGCTTGATGCACACATTTTATTTATAACGAACTTTGCTAGTTCCAAAGATTCCTTCCTGTCTTGTAGCTGTGATTGTTCACTCTGCGATAACACCTTCGCTTTACGAACAGGACTTACTCTTGTGGCCCGGGCGTCGCGTTCGTAAGGTCGCTTTTCTCTTACGGACATATTTTCATGCGCAGTTGTTACATGCTCTCGTCGTGTGGTTGCATTGTTTACGCTCTCCACGTTCATGCTGTCCACCCATGAAGCAGAGGACAATGGAATGTGTATCGGCGAGACATCCTGTGATATATATATATATATATATCACACACTGAGATTTTGTCATTGTACTAATTTTATTTTACTGAAATTTTCTCCTCTTAAAATATAAGTACACTGGTGTGGTTAAAATGTATTTAACCGTTATTCTATGTGAATAACAAAATAAAATAACAACCAACAAACCATTTAATTGATGAAATAATATTTCTACAAATAAGTTTTTTGTAAAGTCCGGAGCACGCCTTTAACTTAAGTTCTGCAAACACTACTACAACAGGAATCTGTATCCACCCTTCCACATGTATCACCCTTGTCTCGTGATGAGAGTACCTATCGGTTATGGAAACAACTACACGAGGGTGTTACAGAACATAAATGACGGAACTTTTTATTTTAACAATGCCTTTTTTATGCAGTAAATTTACAAAACGAATTTTCATGAAGGAATGATATAAAATTACATTTTTTTTTAAGTAAATGGGATATTTTTCTGGGATAAAAAGTAGCCTATGTCACTCTCCGACCCTCCAATTATATCTGTGCAAAATCACGTCGATCCGTTGCTACGTTTAGACGTGAGAGAAGTACAGACGAACCAACACACAAACACACTTTCGGATTTATATTGCAGTAAGTATGAACGTTTTACTTCATTCTCTCTCTATTCGTAACTTGAGTGTTCTGTTTATTTCATAAGTTGTAAAATAATGCAAATTAATCAAATAAATATAGCTCGCTCAAAAATGTCTGGGTGCTCAGTCACGTATATGTATTTTATTATCATTTTACGTCATACTACTATTTGAAAATAACAGTGTTAAAACCTATGGCACATTCGTGTTAGCTATGTAATACTTAGTAAAAAATATCATTGTAACATTTGTTTATTTTAAAAAATGTTCTGTGAGTGA